CTCGACGGCACTTAACAACAACAACAACAACCACAGGCTTCTATTTAAGGCTAGACAACAGAAACTGTGTTTTTGCTTGTTATAAAAAGAATACATTAGTACGTCACATTTACCCAGTGAAAGGAGTCCCTGGGTGGTACAAATAGTAAAACAGTTGACTACTAGCCAAAAGGCTGATGGTTCAAATCCACCCACAGGCACCTTGGAAGACAGGCCTGGCAATCTGCTTTCAGAAAGTCACAGCTTTGAAAACCCTATGGAACAGCTCTATACTCTGCACACATGGAGTGCCATGAGTCAGAATCAACTCTACAGCAACAATAATACTCCAAGAAGAAGTCCATTTATGTGAATGTCCACAAAATCATGCAAACCAAACCATTTATAGTGCTCAAGAGGAAGGAGAAAGGTAGCCACAACTTCCTTATTTAAAAAAAAAAAAAAAAGACTCTGTCTCTTAAAATAAAGAGTATCAATTCCTCTTAACAAAAAGTTATAGAGCTTCTCATGCAACATTATGGATGGAACTTGAAGACATCACAGTGAGTGAAAATAAGTCAATCACAAAAGGGTAAATATCGTATGACTTCAATTATCTAAAAAGACAAGAACAGACATGTGTATAGAGACCAAAGTCTATTAGTGGTTGCCAGAGGCAGAAGAGAGGAGGAGGAAAGGGAGGGTTATTGCTTACGGAGTACTAACTTTCGGCTGTGGTAATAGAAAAAGGTAAGGGTAGGGTGGCATAGCCAATTAATGTAATTGCTGTCTATAAGTTGTACACCTATAAAAAGCTGAAGTGGGAAAAGCTGTGTGACACATACATTTACAATGATGACAGAAAGAGAGAGAGAGCTGCTGAGGTTGACGAACTGCCAAAACAAATGCCCTGAGATAATCTTTAAATCTTAAACCAAAAATATCTCCCAAACTCTTCTTAAACCCAAACAACAGTTTGGCTTTAACTAGTAAAGAATGGCTGCCTTGAGCACTATGTGCTTTTTAAATCTAACTATAAAGGATCAAATTGACAACAGTAACTTGAGAGATTAGATAAGGCCCTTAGAGGGTGGTGAGTTTAAGATATTGAAGGAGGAACAACTCAGAAAAGGAGGGTGAGAATTCAGTGATGTATCAACATCACTGAATTGTACATGTAGAAACTATTGAACTGGTGTATATTTTGTTGTATATAGTCTCAACAACAGAAAGTTATTTTCTAAAAAAAAAGCTATACAGTTTCTGCCACCACTCATCTGTCAGTTTGTCATACCATGGAGCTTGCGTGTTGCTGTGAGGCTGGAGGCTATGCCACCAGTATATCAAATACCAGCAGGGTCACCCATGGTGGGCAGGTTTCAGCAGAGCTTCTAGACTAAGACAGACTTGGAAAAAGGAAGGGGCCATCCACTTCTCAAAGAATTGGTCAGTGGAAAACCTTATAAATAGCAGTGGAATACTGTCTGATATATTATTGGAAAACTTTATGAATAGCCCTGAAACATTGTCCAATATAGTGCCAGATGATGAGTCCCTCAGGTCAGAAGGTACTCAAAATATGACTGGCGAAGAGCTGCCTCCTCAGGGTAGAACCAACCTTAATGATGTGGATGGAGTAAAGCTTTCAGGACTTCCACTTGCTGACGAGGCATGACTTGAAATGAAACAGCTGCAAACATCTATTAATAATCGGAACATGAAATGTACAAAGTATGAATCTAGGAAAATTGGAAGTTGTCAAAAATGAAATGGAACGCATAAAGATCGACATCCTAGGCATTAGTGAGCTGAAATGGACTGGTTTTGGCCATTTTGAATCAGGCAACCATATGATCCACTATGTCTGGAATGACAAATTGAAGAGGAATGGGGCAGCATTCATTGTCACAAAGAATGTTTCAAGATTTATGCTAAAGTACAATGTTGTCCATGATAGAATAATATTCATACGCCTACCAGAAAGACCAGTTAATACTGCTATTATTCAAATATACACACCAACCACCAATGCCAAGTATGAAGAAATTGAAGATTTTTACCAACTTCTGCAGTCTGAAATGGATCAAACATGCAATAAAGATGTGTTGATCATTACTGGTGATTGGAACGCAAAAGTTGGAAACAAAGAAGAATCACTAATAGTCTGAAAATAAGGTGTGATAGAAATAACGCTGGAGATCGCATGACAGAATTTTGTAAGACCAATGACTTACTCATTGTAAATATCTTTTTTCAACAACATAAATGGTGGCTATACACATGGACTTCACCAGATAGAGTATACAGGAATCAGATCGATGACATCTGTGGCAAGAAGCACTGGAGCAGCTCAATATCTTCAGCCAAAACAAGTCCAGGAGCTGACTGTGGAACAGACTAGCAACTGCTCATATGCAAGTTCAAGTTGAAGCTGAAGACAACTGAAACAAGCCCAAGAGAGCCAAAATATACCTTGATTATATCCCTCCTGAATTTAGAGACCATCTGAAAAATAGATTTGATGCACTGAACACCAATGACCAAAAACCAGAGGAATTATGGGATAACATCAAGAACATCATCCATGAAAAAAGCAAAAGGGCATTAAAAAGACAGGAAAGGAAGAAAGACCAAATGGATATTAGAAGAGACTCTCAAGTTCACCCTTGAATGGAGAGTAGCTAAAGCAAATGGAAGAAATGACAAGGTAAAAGAGCTGAACAGAAGATTTCAAAGAGCAGCTCAAGAAAACAAACTCAATTATTATAATGAAATGTGCAAAGATCTGAGTTAGAAAACCAAAAGGGAAGAACAAGCTTGGCATTTTTCAAGCTGCAAGAACTGAAGAAAAAATTCAAGCCTCAAGTTGCAATACTGGAAAGATTCTATGAGCAAAATATTGAATGATGCAGAGAGCATCAAAAGAAGGAATACACAGTCATTGTACCAAAAGAAATTGGTTGATGTTCATCCATTTCAGGATGTTCATCCATTTCAGGAGGTGGCACATGTTCAAGAACCAGTGGAACTGAAGGAAAAAGTTAAAGCTGCACAGAAGAAACTGGTGAAGAACAAGGCTCCAGGAATTGACGGAATACCCACTGAGATGTTTCAACATACAGATGCCCCACTGGAGGCACTCACTTGGTTATGCCAAGAGATCTGGAAGACAGCCACCTGGCCCACTGACTGGAAGAGATCCATATTTGTACCCATTCCAAAGAAAGGTGATCCTACAGAATGTGTAAATTATCAAACAATATCATTAATATCATATGCAAGTAAAATCTTGCTGAAGATAATTCAAAAACGCAGCAAATGCAGCAGTACATTGACAGAGAACTTCCAGAAATGCAAGCTGGATTCAGAAGAGGATGTGGAATGAGGGATACTATTGCTGATGTCAGATGATCGTGGCTGAAAAGCAAAGAATACCGAAAGACGTTTACTTGCTTACTATGCAAAAGCATTTGATTGTGTGGATCATAACAAATTATGGATAACACTGAGAAGAATGGGAATTCCAAAACACTAAATTGTGCTTATGAGGAACCTGTACATAGACCAGGAGGCTGTCATTCGAACAGAACAAGGGGATGCTGTGTGGTTTAAAATCAGGAAGGGAATGCATCAGGTTTGTATGCTTTCACCATACTTATTCAATCTGTATGCTGAGCAAATAATCTGAGAAGCTGGACTGTATGAAGAATGCAGTATCAGGATTGGAGGAAGACTCATTAACAAACTGTTATATGCAGACAACACAACTTCACTTGCTGAAAGTGAGGATGCCTTGAAGCACTTACTGGTGAAGATTAAAGACTACAGTCTGCAGTATAGATTACATCTCAACATAAAGAAAATGAAAATCCACACAACTGGACCAGTAAGCAGCATCACAATAAATGTAGAAAAGATTGAAGTCCAAGATTTCATATTACTTGGTTCCACAACCAACATCAATGGAAGCAGCAGTCAAGACATCAGACAACCTATTGCACTGGACAAATCTGCTGCAAAAGACCTCTTTAAAGTGCTGAAGAGCAAAGATGTCTCTTTGAAGACTAAGGTGTGCAGAACCCAAGCCATACTACTTTCAATCACCTCATATGCGTGTGAGAGCTGGACAGCGAACAAGGAAGATTGAAGAAGGGTTGATGCTTTTGAGTTGTGTTGAAGAATACTAAAGGCACTGTCGACTGCCAAAAGAACTAACAGATCTGTCCTGGAGGAAGTGCAGCCTGAATGGCCCTTGGAAGCAAAAATGGTCAGACTTCATCTCATGTACTTTGGTCATGTTGTCAGAAGGGACCATTCCTTGGAGCAGGATATCATGCTTGGTAAAGTGGATGGACAACAAAAAAGAGGAAGGCCTTCAATGAGATGGACTGACGTGGTAGCTGCAATGATGGGCTCGGGGATAGCAAGGATTGTGAGGCTGACACAGGATCGGGCAGTGTTTCGTTCTGTTTTACATAGGGCTGCTATGGGTCAGAGCCGACTCGATGGCATCTAACAACAACAACAACATACCACTTCTGATGGCATTCAACTATTGCCATTTACACCGAAAGCTGTGACTGATCATTGTCAAAGGGTCACAATGCTAATTTGCTACGGCATTATGAATATACCATACAATTAAATAAAATGCTAGTTTAAAAGGAAAAAAGATGCAATTGATAGCGAAATAAAGATAACTTCTCCTTAAGGGTGAAAATAGTAGCCAAAAGATCCTTACTTTCAGTTGTCTTTTATAAGTCTCTAATTATGAACAGATCAAACTTTTATAAATAAGTTATATTTCCTATTACAAGTTCAAGATTTGAATGATAATTCATGACAATGGAAGTTCTAGTAAAATAGATCACGATTTCCTATTAAAAGATAAATTATAATTTTTTTTTTAATTAGAGGAAAATATTCTAAATATATTTAAGTACAAAGCTAAGTTGGGAGGTTAGACCTAGGTCTTTTTAAAATTAGAGGTCATTAACCTAAATCAACTAACTCATACTTACCAAAGCATTAATATCCAACATAGAATGACATTCTTTAAATTTTGAAATCTCTTGTTCCAATGTGTCTAATAGTACAACTTGGTTCTGTCTGAAACAAAAGCACACAGCCAAAATAAACCTACATATCATAAGTCCTGGCTCACTAAACGAAACATTTATCTTAGTGTTAAAGGTTAAAAATTAAGCTGGAAATATGTAAAAGCACTTGCAGAGAATTGATCTCCCAAGCTTATTTGGTATAGCATTATCTGTTTTTCAAAATAATATTCAAAAGCTACATTCTGGTAATTAGAAATTTTTCATTCTTCATGTTCAGGCTCTAATATAACTAAAACAAGTCATTTAAAATTATTTGCTGCAACTATGTATTATCCCCCCAAAAGAAGTTTCTTAAGTGACCTTGCCCAAGAAACTCCACATGCTTTATAATCTTATTACTGCAATATTCTCATAAAGGAATAAGGAGTGATTAATTTTCTAAGTAGAGCTGGGAAAGATACAGTATCAATGAATAATAACTCAAAGAGAATAAATAAGAAGATGGAAAAAGCAAAGGGTTAGGAATCACAGGATCCCCTCTGCCAATAACCAGTTGTGTGATATTGGAAATTCGGTTTAAAGGCAGTCCCCAGTTATCAACCAGATCCATTATTAAGTATGTCTTTCAGTCAAATTTGTACTAACTCAGAACAGGTGCATATGGTTCTTATTTAGACTTACTTCTCTGGTGGTGTAGTGCCTAAGGCATTTGACTGCTAACCAGAAGGCTGGCAATTCAAAGACTCCTCAGAAGGAAGATAGGGCAATCTACTTCTGTAGTGATACCGCGGAAACCCAAGGAGGGGTCACCATGAGTTGGATTCAACTCGAGGGCAGTGAGTTTGGTAGGTTTTTTAGTGCAAGAAAAGCCTCCGAGCCTTTTCAATGACTTAAAAGCTTCACTTGCTGTGAGTGATTGTGATGAAGAATTTGTTGCAAGTAGGGGTTGGTTCAATTTTTTTAAAGTGAAGGCAAATTTATGTAACATTAAAGGGTGAGTATGAATTGTCTGTAATCACACATCCATAACCCCGGTCCCTGGGCCTAAATTATCTTATCTATAAAGTGAGATCAGACCATATAACTTTTAAAGGTTCTCCTTTAAAATTCTATTGAGGAAGAAAAGCCAATTTCCCTAATACCCATCTCCAGATTCAATCAATGTTATGAAAACAGGGTTAAGAGACCTTGAAAAGTCTCCTAATTGAATATTTTAAGTTTGAATATTTAAGTATTTGAAGTTTGTCCCTTCATCTCAGATTAGAGAACACAGAAAATGAAATATACAACAAATAATAAGAGAACCCAACAAGTCAGCATCCAAGACAAGCAGGACAACAAAAACAGGCTTTTACCACTCCCTAGGTTTAAGAGAGGGAGCTCTGGTGGCATAGCACCTAAGGCATTTGACCAACCAGAAGGCTGGCGGTTCAAACCCACCAGCCACTCCTCAGAAAGAAGACTGGGCAATCTACTTCCACAGAAATACCAACTCAGCAACGCAAGGAAGGGTCACTATGAGTCTAATCAACTCCACAGCAGTAAGTGAGGTTAAAGAGAAAGAGTTCTGGTGGCATAGTGCCTAAGGCATTTGACTCCTAACCAGAAGGCTGGCAGTACTGCCTTGGAAACCCAAAGGGGGTTGCTGTGAGTTGGAATCAACTCAATGGCAGTTAAGTTTCATGGTTTTTTTTTTTTTTTTGGTTTAGGTTTAAGAGAACCCAATACTCTATAGTGGTGGTGCAGTGGTTGATGCATTCAGCCACTAACCAAAAGATCAGTGATTCAAAGACACCATCCACTCTGCAGAATAAAGATGAGGCAGTAAAGATTTACAGTCTTGGAAACCCTATGAGGCAATTCTTCTCTGTCTTATGTGGTTGCTATGAGTGGGAATTGACTCAATGGGAGTGGGTTTGATTTTTTTTTTTTTTTTTTTTGGTAATACTCTGTACCTCCGAAACAGGTCATCTCAAAAAAAAAAAAAAAAAAGATACTTAAGGATCCTTGGCAATTTATTTGAACCAGAAACTGAACACAAGTGTGATTTTTATGGAAGAAATTTCTCAACTCAGAAACATAGGTATACCCTCCCTGCAACATCCCTATAGGAAATATTTTCATAACATAATTATCTGGAGTCTAGATAAGGTTTCTCAAAAACCAAATTCACTGCCATCAAGTCAATTCTGACCCCCATTGGGTTTCCAAGGCTGTAAATTTTTACAGAATCAGACTGCCTCATCTTTCTTCTGTGGAGAGGCTACTAGGTGTGAACTACCAACTTTTTGGTTAGGAGTCAAATGCCTTAACCACTACACCACCAGAGTTCCTTACATAAGGTAAGTACTTATTAGAAGAGTTCAAACACTCTAAGAGCATTCATTTCATTTTTTTACATTTAGATTATTATGTATCCCTCTACTATGATTTGCTGTCAATAAAGATATATAAATACTTAACTATGATTAAATGTTACAAAATGTATCTTAATACAGTACATTAATTATACAGTAAATTATGACTTATACTAGCCAGGAAATGAGTGCATAAATGGTTTTCGGTGTCTTACGTGAGTTCCTGGAGGGCTTGTTTGGATCTCTGCAGATCTGGCAAATAGTGAGAGAGCAATCCTTCTGCCAGTTGTTCCACAGCTTTGTCTTCGATAGTCAAGGCCTCTAACAATCCTTCATCTGGAGAAGTATCACTTAAATCTGTCCCCAAGCAAAACTCAAATTTAGGAAGCTTTTCAATTGATACCACTACTAAGAGGGGAGAAAAAGGAGTAGGTGAAAAGAGAAAAGGAAGCTGGCAGTGGGGTTCAGAGCATAAACCCACTCTCCCAACAACAGGTGTTTTTGTTTTCCTTCTGGGCTTCCTCTGACAAAATGGGATATAAGCACTCAAAAAATGTTTTTAAGCTATTAGTATAAGATATACTGAGGGTAAAAGAACATTAACATACACAAAATTCTGCACTTGTATATATTTTTCAGGGCAGACATTTACAGTTTTCAATGCATTCTAAACCCCATTGGGTTTCCATTGTTTTTTCCATCTTTTTAATTAGCTTATCTGTTTGAATGATACTTTGCAACTTTGAGAACTTTAAACCATAGTCAAGTGTCCAAGAGAATATGTGTAGGTTATAGGCCAATTCTACACCAATTTATATAAGGCACTTAAGCATTCTCAGCTTTTGGTATCCGTGTAGGTCCTGGAACCAACTGCCTGCGGATACTGAGGGACAACTGTATTACAGAAAAACAAACACAAACATGCAAATGATACTTTAATTTTAAGGAGTAACAATTAATACTCAATTATGATTAGATAGATACAGATTATAGATAAACACACACATTTTAACTCATGGACCTCCAAAACTGAAACCAAACCTCCAGTCTCAGGTTAATTATTAGAATAGTCTTGGTTACTCATATTTTAACATACATTTAGTTACTGTACATACATGATACTTTATTCTGAAAGATTTACAAGAAGATGATGTCTCCACCCTATTCATACAGGAAATGTTTGCTGAACATCTATATTTGTACTAGATTCTAAAAATACAACAATACAATAAATAAAGCTTGTCCCTGAAAGGTTCAGTCCAGGTGACTCGAAATTATGGGAATTCAAGGAAGAAAAAGATCACTTTCATTTGTCAAATTTGGCAATGATTCCTAAAGGAAATGTGAGCAGTACAGCTGAGACTTTAAGAATGGATAGACAAGAATTTTTCTTCTTTTTTTTTAAAGTGTTACTCATTGTAAAAATTTTAAACACTACAGAGGGGGTCATAAACTGAGAAGTAAAAATACTGCCTTTTACCCCCTTACTCCAAAGGGAGTCACTCTCAGTTTCTTACATAGCTTCCAGAAATTATCTTTGCAATCCCATATATATAATTTGTTTTTCTCACAAATGAAATATTACTCATACTGTTCTGCAACTAAGATACAACTATATATCTTAATTATTTCTTGGAAGGAAGTTTGGGCAATCTATTTCCATAGTGATACTACCTCGGAAGCCCAAGGAGAAGTCACTGAGTCGGGTCCCACTCGAAGGCACATGTAACAACAACAATCTTGGTTATTGTTTCATGTCAACATGTATGGACCTACTGTATTCTTTTGAGACCTATTGAGTTTTCTATTTACCATAAGTTACCAGTCCCTTATGGACAGAGGGAGCTCTGGTGGTGTAATGCCTAAGGCATTTGACTGCTAACCAGAAGGTTTGTGGTTCAAACCCACCAGCCACTCCTCAGAAGGAAGACTGGACAATCTACTTCAGTAGAGCTACAGCCTCAGAAACCCAAGGAGGGGTCGTTATGATAATCAGAACCGATTCAAGGGCAGTGAGTTTGGTTTTTTTTTGGTTTATGAATAGATACTTGTTTTCAGTTTTTTGCTATTTCAAACAGTGCTGCAATGAATTTATCTTTGCATAGTCATGTCACTGTTTCTGTGAGATAAATTCCAGAAGTAGATTGCTGGGACAAAGAGTATGCATTTCTTAAACAGATACTGCGAAACTGACTCTCAAGAGGTAGTACCAATTTACAATCCCACCAGCAGTCTAGGAGGACTACTATTTCAAAACAGGTACAAATTCACCAAGTGAAAAAGATGCAATCTGGAAGCATGAACAAAGGTGGAAATATCAAAACGTTGCTCTATAAAGGGGAGGTAGTAAGGGATGGTTAGAGTAAAAGGGCCCTAGGCAACAATGAGCTATAAGACCATGTGACCAGCCTTGGGGGGCGGCCTTGAATGCCATGTAAATGAGTCTGAACTTTAATAAGTAGTGAGGAGCTGTTTAAGGTTTCTGAGCAAGTGAGAGACATGATTGGCACTTTATCTTGAGGCGGTGATATGACTGAGGTAGGATGGATGGTTGGAAGAAGAAGAGACTGACTGGAGGTGGTATAGACTTACAACTGTGGGCATAAATACAAAGACACAAATGAAAATTGCATAGGAGAATCTCCTAAGTAGAGAGGTAAGAGGCAAGAGAAAAGACTCACTTGAAAGTTTCAAGGGCCGTGACTCGTCACCAACAGGATTAGACATTTATTTTTATTTATTTACCTTTATTTATGGTGGCATAGTGCCTAAGGCATTTAACTGCTAACCAGAAGGCTGGCGGTTCAAACCCACCAGCCACTCCTCAGAAGGAAACTTGGGCAATCTACTTCCATAGTGATACCGCCTTGGAAACCCAAGGAGGGGTCTCTATGAATCAGGACTGACTCCACGGCAATGAGTTTGGTTTTAGTTTTTTGTTTTATTCATGTACAATCTGTATATGAGGTTAATGCAGAACAACCATGTTGGTCAAGCAGATGGACAAGCAAGCAAGATTCGGGAAAGGGGCTCAGGATGCAAATACAAACAACGGAACCGTTCTTAGATGAAAATCTTACAAAGGATTTAAGAGGGGGAGTTCAATGAGTAAAACCTGACCAGGAAGAAGCTGAGAGCATTATTTTGAGGTAATCCTTATATTTCTGGAATAGTAGTTAAAAGAGGTTAAAAAAAAAAAAAAAACTCATGTCGTGGAGTGGTATCCGACTCATAGCGACCCCTCCTTGGGTTTCCGAGGCGGTATCTCTACAGAAGTAGATTGTCCAACCTTCCTTCCGAGGAGTGGCTGGTGGGTTTGAACCACCAGCCTTCTGGTTAGCAAGCAGTCAAATGCTTTAGTCCTGCAGCCTTTCTCATCTAGGGTTCCACATCTGAGCTACTGAACACAGAAAATAATGAGTGACTACTTTCTCAATTCTCTAGTGCTGACACATAAACAGTACCGTTCTAGATGCATATAGTAAGTTAATTCACTGCATTCAATGCCTTAAAACGTTGTTGTTGTTTTTATGCGCCATGGAGTCGGACCGACTCATAGCGACCTCTCCTTGGGTTTCCAAGGCAGTATCACTAAGGAAGTAGATTGCCGAACCTTCCTTCCGAGGAGTGACTGGTGGGTTTGAACCGCCAGCCTTCCGGTTAGCAGTCAAATGCCTTAAGCACTACGCTAAAACATTAGGGCTTAAATTTCTCCGGGAATCCAGATTGAGAGAAACTGATGGGAGAAATAGGGATGTAGTAATGTCACCGAGCAAGAGGGAGGCAGCATCCATCATCCATAATAATGGATACATCAATTCTCCGAATTACAAACCGATTGTTCTAACAACTTCATCGCCAGACACTACATTAAAACGAATAGCTGAGGACGCACCAGACTCAACAAACTCAAAATGAACCCACCATCAAGCGCCCCCAACCGCACCCCAAACAACGCTTTCGTCCAGACCGATTACTGCCCATTCCGCTGGGCAGTAGGTCCGGTGTGAGTCTCAACTTTCACGGAGGTGCCAAAAACTCGGAACCGCCCCCTTCAGATCTAGGACTGCCAACTATCTAAAGTAGCGTCCTCCTGTGAGGCGGTCCCGGAGGCCCACCCTCTCAGTACAGGTCCTGGCCTCTCGCACTCCGCCCCGCCGCCCGGCCGCACGTACCCGGCGTCGGATCCCCGGCCCTCAAGCTGTCGGGCAGCCCTGTCAGGACCCCGTCCGGGGAAGGCGGCTCAGGGACACTCATGTCCCTGCCGCTGAGAACAGGGAAGGGACAGGCAGGAAAACGGACAGAAACAGGAAGACGGTACCGAAAGCCCCCAGAGCCTAGACGGACAGAAGCAGCGGCCGTACCCGGAAGTGATGGTACGTTAGAAGACAGGCTCAGGACACGTGACCGTGAACCCGCCCCCTTGGCGCTCCGGAACCGTCTGCACGGAAGTTGTTCCGGGTTGGGGAGTCACTATTAATAGACTGTGCAGTACTTGAGTACTTGAGATAGCGTGGTAGGTAGGAGCAGTACCGCTGTGAGCCAGGAAGATTTAAGGCTTTGTCTTCGTTCGACGCGAGCTAGAAAACAGACACAGCTTTGCAATTTTATTTGTGCTGGTGGTAGGTTAAGGAGCTCTTATGGCATAGTGGATGAGGCATTTGGCCGCTAACCAGAGGTCAAGTCCACCAGCCGTGCAGCGAAAGGAAGATGGAGGAATCGACTTCCGTAAAGTAGATTGCCTCGAAAACCCAATAGGGGTCGTTATGAGTCGAAGTCGACTCCCTGGCAGTGGGTTTGGTTTGGGTTTTTTGCTCTTGCTGAGATCCAGTGGGCAGAGGCAGTCTCAGATTAAATAAAGCAGCAGATGTATCTTCCCTACCTTAGGTCTTCTCTCACTTGAGCTGTAGTTTGTGCTTGGTTGCCATCACCTCCCTGCTGATTAATGGAGACCTCAGGTATAATAGAACGGAATATTGCCCGGTTCTATGTCATCCTCACAGTTGTTGCTTATGTTTGAGCCTATTGTTGCAGCACAATGTGTCAATCCATCTGATAAATGGTTTCCCTCGTTTTCACTGACCCTCTACCGAACACGATCTTTTTCCAGCGATTGGTTACGGGTAACCTTAGTTGATTGTTATTGTTAGGTGATTGTTGTTATGTGTGCCGGCGAGTCGGACCCGACTCATAGTTACCCCTCCTTGGGTTTCCAAGGCAGTATCACTACGGAAGTAGATTGCCTCATCTTCCTTCCGAGAAGTGGCTGGTGGGTTTGAACCTCCAACCTTCCGGTTTGCGGTCAAGTGCCTTAGGCACTACGCTACCAGAGCTAAGACAATGTTTTTTAAAATAAATAAATAAATAAATAACTGAGGGCCATCAAGTCTGATCCGACTCATAGCGACCCCTTCTTGGTTTTCCGAGGCGGTATCTCTATGGAAGTAGACCGCCCAATCTTCCTTCTGAGGAGTGGTTGGTGGGTTTGAACCACCAGCCTTCTGGTTAGCAGTGAAATGCCTTAGACACTATGCCACCAGAGGTAAAAATCCTGGTTCCTGTCTGTCAGAAACTTATATTACTTAAACGTAGTAGAATTAGTGAGCATCGCAGTAAAGTGCTAGATTATGTGAGAAAGAACTAGAGGATTGTAAAGTACATAATGATTTCATGTTAGTGTCCTCTTGTTGCTGTAACAGATTACCATAAGCATAATGACATAAAAGAACACAAATTTATTACCTTACAGTTCTAGAGGCCAAAATCCAAAATGAGTCTCAGCTAAATTCAAGATGTTGGCAGGGTTGCTTCCTTCTGAAAGTTTTAGTGGATAATCTGTTTCCTTGCCTTTACGGTCTAGAAATTTCCATCCTGTGGATCATAGTCCAGTATCATAATGCCTTTTCTCCCTTTGCTCCCACTGACAGCACCTCTCCTGGTCTGATCCTCCTACCTCCCTTTCATAAGGACTCCTGTGATTATATGGAGTCCACCAAAACCCACCTTCCACTCCATGGGAGAAAGATGTGGCAGACTACCTCCATAAAGATTACAGCCAAAAAAAACCTTGAGGGGCAGCTCTACTCTGTCCTATAGGGTCACAATGAGTTGGAAACAACTCGAGGGCACACAACTGCAACAACAACAAAAAGATAATCCATGATAACCACTCCATCTCAAGATTCTTAAATTTAATCACATCTGCAAAGTCCCTTCTGCCATGTAAAGTTATATATTCACCTATCTGGAGAATTGAACAAGGGCATCTTTGGAGGGGCCATCATTCAGCCTACCACAGATACGGTACTTTTGAGAAGTCAGTAGATTTTTTTTTTAAAAAACTCAATAGAGTAAATGGAATTTAGGCCATACCTTAAAGGACCCCACAAACGAGTTGCTGTCAAGTCAATTCTGACTTATGGTGTCAGAGTGTGTGTCAGAGTAGAACTGTGCTCCATATGGTTTTCAATGGCTGGTTTTTCAGAAGTAGATCACCAGCCCTTTGTTCTAAGGCTCTTCTTGGTCAACTGAAACCTCCACCCTTTTGGTTAGCAGCAGAGCATGTTAACCATTTGCACTACCCAGGGACTCCCACCTTGAAGGACAGGTAGGATATAATCACAGAGAAGAACTAATAAACTCTTCCAGGCAGGAAAGAATACTGTGAGTAGAAAAAGTAAACCTCACACTCAAGGACCTCAAGGTGCTAACTCTTTTGGGGGAAGACAAGATTGTTGTTAGGTGCCATACAGTCAGCTCTAACTCGTAGTGACCCTATCTAGGTACAAGAGAACAAAACACTGCCCGGTCCTGCACCAGCCTCACAATCCTTGCTATACCTGAGCCCATTGTTGTAGCCACTGTGTCAGTCCATCTTGTTGTGGGCTTCCTCCTTTTTCAGTGACCCTCCACTTTACCAAGCATGATATCCTTCACCAGGGAATGGTCCCTTCTGACAACATGACCAAAGTATATGAGACAAAGTCTAGCCATTCTTGCTTCCAAGGAGCATTCCAGCCGTACTTCTTCCAGGACAGATTTGTTCATTCTCCTGGCAGTCCATGGTACTTTCAGTATTCTTCACCAACACCACAACCCAAAAGCATCAACTCTTCTTTGGTCTTCCTTATTCATTGTCCAGCTTTCACATGCATATGAGGCATTTGGAAATACCATGGTTTGAGTTAGGCACTCCTTATCTTCAAAGAGACATCTTTGCTTTTCAGCACTTGAAAGAGGTCTTTTGCAGCAGATTAGCCCAGTGCACTATGTCATCTGATTTCTTGACTACTACTTCCACTCATGGTGATTGTGGAGCCAAGTAATATGAAATCTTTGACAACTTCAATCTTCTATTTATCATGATGGTGCTTTATTGTTACAGTTGTGAGGATTTTCATTTACTTAATGTTAAGGTGTAATCCGAACTGCAGACTGTAGTCTAATCTTCATTAGTAAGTGCTTCAAGTCATCTTCACTTTGAGCAAGCAAAGTTGTGTCATCTGCATATCGCAGGTTCTTAATGAGTCTTCCTCCAATCCTGATGTCATGCTCTTCTTCATATAGTCTAGCTTCTTGGATTATTTACTCAGATTGAGTAAGTGTGGTGAAAGGATCCACCCCTGACACACACCTTTCCTGATTTGAAACCATGCAGTAACCCCTTGTTCTATTTAAACGACAGCCTCCTGGTCTATGGACAGGTTCCTCATGAGCACAATTAAGTGTTCTGGAATTCCCGTTCTTCTCAATGTTATCTATAATTTGTTATGATCCACACAGTCAAATGCTTTTGCATAGTCAATAAAACACAAGTAAGCATCTTTCTGGTATTCTTTGCTTCCAGCCAAGCTCCATCTGACATCAGCAATGATAGCCCTCATTCAACGTCCTCTGACAAGACTAACACAGATTAAATGATTAGTAACTAACCTAACAGATGAAGGTAATATATAGTTTTTTAGACCAAAAGAAGACAAAAGATAACAACACTAAACTGAAGAAGTTGCTTCAAAGAAATTAAAAGAAACAATATCCAGAAAGAGTTAAATACTATATATATTCAAAGCAAAAAGAAGGTGAGGCAATAGACTTATGGGACCTTGAAATCATAAGAGGACAAATATAATGCAATATGGCAAAACCGTTTACCCACCTTTTAGTTGTTTTGTTTTCCTTTTTTTTACTCACTGAAGAGGAGTAGTAGGTGGGTGGGTAGGAGATTCAATGGAAGAAAGAAAGTTTAACCCATGAATATTTTGTTATTCTTTTATTTGTCAGGATTTTTATCTACTCCAAGTTTGACCTACTTCTCTCATGGAAATTCACTTTCACCCTTCCTTTTGTTTCTCTATCTCCATGCTTTTCCAAAATCTGAAGAAAGAATTAAGGGTTGGGTGACAAAAAATATTTAAGAGAGAATGATAGAGAGGCCAGGGGTTGCAGAGAAAAGAAATAGAAGAGGATGACACACAGGAGAAAGTGAACTAAAGTGTTAAATTTTAAAAAAAGAAAAAACATGTTCACATAGGATTACACTCTTGCAAAAGGAATTTCTCCTAAAATAACAACAACAACAACAACAAAAAAAAATTGCAGGCTTTCCTTTTTGGTAATTTCCTTCCAGAGGAGTTGAAGTACTAAAGAAAACTAGTTCATCATTTTGTCTATGGTTACCCAATCTGGAAAGATATTTTTCTCAGGCAATTATAGCCTTTTTATATTTACATGAGGAATATTCTTTCACATTAACAAAGTGCTAAAATATTTCCACCTACTGCAACTCTGCCACACTTTCCATCATTCCTTCCTTGCATTATATAACAAATATTTTAATATGTATTATTGCATCAATATGTTCTCCTAACCCTGCCACCAAAAGTTTTGTAAAATACATAACAGAAGTCATAAGCAAAGGCTTTTGAAAATTTCTGAAAATGCACACAATTATCATAACATTTCCATATGAAAAAACAAACCAAGTTTTGTTCAAACCTCTAATTTCAAACAAATGTTATAATAATTTATTTAAAAGAAAAATTGAAATTCAACTTCCCTTCTCTCTTATTTATGTTAATCAAGGGTCACTACAGGCAAAGCCTATTAAAGGTGAACTTAGGAACTGTATCAGGTCCTTTATTAGTTAAGGCATACTAGGTTATGTTCCAATAACAACCTTCACAGACGAGAGGTTCAGCACATTTGTACATGGCTCTTCTCCTAAAAGTCTTCACTCAAAGACTTAAGCTGGCAAAGTCTTCACCTTCAGCA